GTATTCAAAATATTACCACGCCATGAGGTTTTTTTGGTAACTTAATTCTTGCCATTATTACTCTAATGTTCTGCAGAAACCCTCTTAACTATTTGTCTAATTTCTTTTAGAAGGGAGGTAGATTCAAAATCCAATCAGAAGCACAACAGCTTCAGCTGCCTTTGAATCAAAAATCTACATGTACCATTCATCCTGTAACTGACATGGTCTGATAAATAGTTTTATGCATGGAACTCAAGTATGTAACTGTCATTCTTAACTATCTTAAAAGCTCAGTTAAATTCTAAGAAATATCTCCTCACCCTTGGCTGCCAGCGTTCATACTGTTCCTGAAGTTTGTTGCCAACAGTTTCTAAAGCTTTTTGTGGACCCATTGAAAGAGGATCTGTTACGAAACACAAGACACACTCACATATTAATATTGTGAAAATCATGACTACAAACAGCCCTGCCCACTAGTTTGAAATATTGCAACACACAATCCAGTTACTTATAAGAATATAGTTCTTGGTTCATACCTACAAAATATTAATAGTCCTGCTTTTTTTTCAAGTCACAATGATACAAAGAATGGTACCGGTGTGGTCCCTTGATGTCTTCTAGGATTAGGAGGCAACATTTTCAAATCCCCACCTACACCTTCCATATGGCATCTAACTCTCCACTCCAATACCAACCACAGATGTCAAATCCCCCCGTCGAGACACATCAACAATTCAAATGCCTGAGCGGAGGGATTTTGATGTTTCTATTTGATCGATACATTACCATTCTGCAGTGCCCACTTTTCAATGTAAAAGCGATATGAATTAAGAATATCACACAATTAGAATGCCGAAAGAAAAATGTAGAGCATACTCTTTTCAGGTCTTGTTTAAAGTGCAGCTACAGTGGTTTGCTCACACAAAAAAGTCCTTTATTTATATAACCAAGAGGTGCAATAAGCTCAATGCTCTTAAACAGGACAGATGAATTTGCATATTATGAGCTCATACAACCCATTCCAGAAAGTACGTTTTTCGTGATAGCGTGATCTATATTTGTACAAATTGCAAGACATATTGTCAACAATCCACTCGACACGAAGCAAGTACTATATATTAGTTGGACAGGAAAAGTTATGTAACTCCCCAAAATACGCAAGTGCAAGACGTACTAGAGCTTTGTTGTTATCCATTCCGATCATTACGATTAAGCTTTACCCAAAAATTGATTCACTAGCAATTAAAACGCACATGTACTGTACAACTGCGAGTTCGTGTGTTCAAAGTGAAAGAGTTAACAACAGCTGAGGTGGATTTCGCTCACCCGGAAAACACATGTCTGTCAAACAAAACGAAAATGAAACCAATGTTATCATGAAAAGTTATTTGACTGACCAATCCAGCACTCCATCCGTGCACATGGTGAGGTTTTAACCACATCAGGAGGGTCGACACCAATGTTCAAGCATAAGACGAGAGCCACGCTCACGGTCTTCATCTGGAACAAAATTGCCAAACATGAGAATCAGGTAAATAGCGTCGATACTTTATTTTAATTAAAGGAGAGCTGGACAATGGCTCGATCACTCACTCGTTCTTTCATACGCCATGTCTGAGCCAGTGGTCTCGATCCTTCGATCACCTCTTTGTGGCGTTTTTTCATGAAACATAGTGGCAATTGCCAGTCAACTATTTCGCCTTCGTCCTCATCGCAAAACAAATCGTCGTAGTCGAAATCGTCCGTTGACATCTTAGAAGCCTTTAATCACTCAATAATAGAATTTGAGGCTCCAGAAATTGAACAACATCCATCTTGAACGGCTTCTGCTCTCGTAAATTCAAGGGGACGTGAAAAGGGAAACACAACGTGTTCAGCCGCCGGCCAAAAGTTGCGCAACTGCGCATGCTTATGTTTATGTTTTCATCGCAATGAAAATACCGCGGGCCCCGTTTGTCGCTTTCTGTTTCAAGTAGATTCAAGTGTCACGAAGCGAACCAACCAATGGATTTCGTTGCTATATTTCAACACACGGTTATCATTTTGCCGTCATCCAGGGTAGGGAGTGGAGTGCACTACCCTCATGCACAATCGAATCAAATGCTACTCAAATGGAAGATCACAAAATTATTTTATTGTTCTATAACTGATTTATTTCAACATTCTATTTCACAATTCAGTTTATAAACAGGGACCCTATTGTCTGATCAAGGGCATGTATGACCACATGCCGAAGTGTGGGGATCACGAGATTTTTCACTGTCATTTTCTTGTTCAGAATTTGTTTTCTTTTCGTCTTTGTATGTTCGATTTTTTTCCCTTATCCTTCTTGAAGAAGGCCAGCAAAACTGACCGAGACGACGGACCTCAGTGTTTGAACAGACCAGTCCCGAAAAACATTTTTTCAGTTAGAATTTGTTTTACTGTATTTCCTCGCATGATATTAAGTCTCGACTATAAAAATGTCAGTCATCGATTATTTTGCATAGAGGTTGTTCACCTGGCGGAAAAAAAGAACTTTTTTTTATTATTCCAGCAAAATACGTGACCATCGAGGGTGGTAATCTTGGGTGCAAACACCAGCAGGGTTATCACGAGGTTTCCTTCCGAATTTCCGCTTTAACTCGCCACCGAGACTCGACTGAAAATCAAAGATCATAATCTAAAGCCTACAGGGCAAAACCGCACTATCCTGAGACGACCTTTTCTTCTTTCAGAGAAAAAGTAATCAAGGCCACTCTCACAGACTAATTTTCATGCTGAGACAGCATTTCAGGATTTTCTAAAGCTGAGGTTATTGAAGTGGATTAGGATCTTGCGTTATGCAGTGATATACGCAAAATTTCAATTACTTTATAACTTTTTTCTTTCTTGCCTGCATGTGAATCATGAATAGACACGCGAGCATGACATGTTTGGGGTTGTTTTCCATTGACAAGACATTTTACGGAACTTCCAGCTGGGAAGGAAATTTCCAATCGAAACGGAACTTCCGAAGAGGTAATTCTGTTCTCCTGTCGGACCGTTCCAAATGGCTTAATCGCATCGCCTGCAACAGTTCCAAGCCTTCGGTTATCACGGACATGCCAGATTTCCTGGATCAACCAGAATGGCGGCCGCCGTTCTTTTTTCCTGGAAACTATCTCTTGATATCTCGCCTGACTCAAATCATTTTCACTTGATTTGCTTTTTCAGTCGAACCTCCGCCATCTCAAACTGTGTTTCATTTCTCTTTTAGTGTAGCAGCGTTCAACTGCAGTCTGTTTACATGCCTACTCCCAGGGGGGGGGGGGGGGGGGGGGGGTACTATACAAAGTTTTATATGGGGAGGCTCCACCCCTAGACTCAACCCCTTACCCTTTTCTG